CTTTAAATCTATATCGATAAAGACGACCTGACCCTTCAACATAATTAATTCGTGTTTATTTCTTCCATAGTTTAGACAAACTTAAACTCCCTGTTAGCAAATAATCTTAGTTAACTTAATGACGAACCGTTTAAGCTAACAACGTCCTAATGGTGCAACTATAAATTTCTATTTACATATTAATCCACTTTGACGTGAAACTGGTATTTGATATAAATAAACATATTGTGGTTCTAATAGTGTAGGAATTTTATGAAAGTTATAGGAAAATCTGTTAAAGTTAAGCTTCTATCTAGCCTTTTAACAAATCATTCTGATCGTAAAACTGTTGCTCAAATCCTTTAAGATGCTAATATATTAAAAGATGTCATAATAGAAATAACAGGTTACAAAAGTATTCAAAGCATTCGTGTATATAAAGAAGTAAATGAAAAACAACATCTTGCTATTATAAATACTTTAATTAATATTATAGTACCTTCAAAACCATCAATTCTTAGGAATTTAACAAGTAAAAATATAAATAATGATTTTAACTTAGGGTTAGAAATTCCTTCAATTTTTTCTGATATAATATTAGAATTTTCTTCTAATAATATTCAAAAAAAATTACCAGTCTTTTACATCTTTTACAACTGTTATTTTAATAATGTAACTTTTAAATTATAAAAAAATGTAGTAATTCTTTTGTTTAATAGTTATAATAGTTAATAAAATATTATATTAATAATCTGTATTAATATTTTTATGAACATTAAAATATCACTATAAATAATCATAGGCGACCATTAGTAAACATGAGATAATTTATGTTAGGCTTTCTCGTGTCTTTATATAGACTTCACTTATGATAACCAAGTACACAAATTGAATCAGAAAAAAAGTATTATTAGTGATATATTATTTTCCCTTAATAAAGAACTCCAGAATATTGCATTGCATTGTTATCTTGGTTTTGATACAATTCCAGATGTAACAATGGTTCAATAATAATAAAATAAATGTCTAAATTCTTTCAATAATTAATATATATATTCTACAAAACTTTTTTAAATTAACCATCTCCAAAAAATTATTAAATAAAAATTATTCCAATTTGAACTTTATCGAGTATGAAAAGTTACATAATAAATTGTTCAAATCAAATCCAATACTTTTACTTAATATCGATATCAATTAATAAATTTTTTTTGATTCTTCTGATTTATGAAATTAGAATCATTTTATTTCTTCTTCTTTTCATTATTTTTTACCAATTTCATATTCTTTTACTCTTGCCTATGATTTGTCATATGTTTAATAGAAATGTACGATAGTTACGGCATGGCACTATAAGCTTATTAGATTATTAAAATATTAGATGGTTTTATTTTTATTTTTTTTTATAAGTGACATCATTTTCATATGATTCTGTGATGATATTTTTGACAAGTACTACATACTATATATGACATATTCAAAGATTATTATCATGTTCATTGGCTAATTTGTGTTTATTTTTTTTTTATATTTCAACAACTTCGACAACTTCACCTTCACACTTGCTCTTCTTTTTTCCTCTACTTTACTTCCATTTACTCTTCTTATTCCTCTACTACCTTTTATTTTCTTTCCTTCTATATATCACTTATTATATTTCATCCCCCACATGGTTTCCTATCTTCGTCTATTTTCATCTCCTTTTACCTCTGCTATATTATTATTTCCCTCCTCTATATAATTGTTTTTATTTATTTCTTAGAATGTTGAAGCAGTGAAATTCATTTTTCTTTCGATACATGAGAGTATTAAGATTCATCCATAGCCAGGTACGTTTTTTTTTGTCAAAGATTCTGTGGTTTATGTTAACAGTTCATTGCGAAGTTATACTTCTGTGCATGGATAGGAAAAAGATTAATGGCCTATCACTGATCTTCAATTATTGTTGTTGATTATATAGGTCCAACATTTTATTTTTATATATATAGCGTTCTAGATCTTTAATAATAATAACTAGTTTTTACAGTCTCCTTTTTTTCAAAGATTTTGTGGTTTTATGTTAACTGTTTATTGCAATTTTGTATCACTGAAAAAAATGTTAACGGCCTATTCAATTCTTCTTATATACTGTAAGTCCTACGTTATAAATTTCCATAAAATTAATATTTATATAAAAACAAATAATCATCTAAGCTCTTCTCTTCTCGTTAAATTATATTTTTAGAAACTTTTTATTTAAAACCTTGCATCATTCACTAGTTAACAGGTGGAAATATGGTAATGGTATAATATCGAACCTCTATGAGTCTGAAATTTTTTAAGAGTTTCTTTTGTATAGTCAAAAAAAGAATAGATACTTCTTTGATGAAAGGCGGTGATGTCTCAGTCTTTTTCCAATCAATTATCGTATTGAATTCTAGTTCAATTTCAAAGTCTTTTCTTGCATTTTTAAGTGTAAAAAAATCTAGGTTCTAGAATTTATTGCACAATATTGAAAAAGCTTTTATTTCTTATTTGTATATTTTTTTAAAGCTCACACAAGCGTTAAATAAAAAAAAGGTGGTTTCATACGGGCTATTTATGTAGTTCCAAATAAAAAATATCTGAATACTCGATTCGATTCTCGACATAATAGCAATCCTAAATAGAGTACTTTTTTAAACTTGATTTTTAGTTAATATCTAAATTTGTTTTCTTCGAAAATAAAATATATTTTTTTTATTTATATTCTATAGGAAGTCTCTTACAAATACATGTTATGAATTACTGTAACGACTACGCATTTATTTATTAACGATAAATTTATTAAATTTATTATTTACAAAATTTGTAATCTCATTGATGATCTAAAATGTGTATTCTCTTCCCTGTTCAAAGTATATAATACCTTCAAAATTCTAGAAATTGTATGATACCCAGGTACTTAGTCTACCGTTTATATATGAATCATTTTAGTACATAGGACATGTCATGTTACATGACCGATCAGATTTTAAATAAATGATTGATTGATTTAATAAATAAGTCGAAGATAACTTATCCTTTTTATAACGAAATACTAATGGTACCCTTTTGTATACAAATCGATCGATTTCATAAAAGTTATAAAATTGAATAAAGAAAATCACTCTTTTTTTCAGCATTGTAAAAAAAACTTTATTATTTTATCCGACTTCGTTACATTTTATCAATATATTAAACAATTTATTGGTAAGATATTTTACCTACGATTGCATCGATTCTTTGAATTCGAATTTTGATTATGTTCTAAATTATTTTACAATTAAATTAAATGAATATTCATCAAGAGTTATTTGAATCGATTTTTCGGTTATTAACTACATAACTTACTCATCATCTTTAATTCTTTTCTCTTTTTTCTCCATAATTACTTTCACTCATCTACCATTATTTTTTTTTTTTTATTTCGATGCTATTTTTAGGAAAGATTTAACAAATATTCCAAGAGGTCTCATAAGAGAGTTTGTAGAAAAACATAATAGTCACACTGTAATCTCAAAAATTTTAATATCGAATAATGGTATAGCGGCTGTTAACGAGATTAGATCTATTAGAAAATGGGCTTATGAAACATTTGGTGATGAAAGGTCATACAGTTTATTGTGATGGCTACTCCTGAAGATTTAAAGATTAATGCTGAATATATTCGTATGGCTGATCAATATATCGAAGTACCTGGTAATTCTAATAATAATCATTATACTAATGTTTCATTATTTTGCTGAACGTATTGGTGTTCATACTTTTTGGCTGGATGGTAAGCATTCTTCTAAAAAAAAAATTAACAATAATACCTGTGTATATAAATAAATTTAATTTTCTTTTAAACTAATGAAATATGGCTCATCTATAGGAGATAACCCTAAATTACCAAAATCATTAGCGTGAAGTAAACATAAGATAGTTTTTGTTGATCCTTCCAGTTCAGCGATGCGTTCGTTAGGTGATAAAATATCATCTATAATTGCTGCAAATGTTCCTATGATAGATTGGAGTGGTAATTATGTCACATTAATAAACAAGATCATGTTATTTTTTTCAGAAAGTGTTTACGAAGTTCTGTGCATCAAGGACCGTTGTTGATGGATTAAATAAAACAAATTTCTATCATAATCAAATCTTCAGTGGGTGGAGGAGAAAAAGGAATTATAAAAGTGGAAAATCAAGATAATTTTAAGCAAGCATTTGCTCAAATTCAAGGTGAAGTTCCTGGTTCACTGACTTTCATCACGCGACTTGCTCCAGATGCTCATCATCTTGAAGTTCAAGTTTTAGCGATTCAATACAGAAATGCGATCTCCTTATTTGGAAGAGATTGTTCAGTTTAAAGACGTCATCGTCATAAAAAGATCATTTAAGAGGCTCTAGTTACGATTGCAAAATAAGAGACATTTAAATCTATGGAAAGGGCTGCTGTCAGATTAGCTAATTAGTTGTTTATATTTAGTGCGAGAACCGTTGAATATCTTTACATTATTGCGTTTTGTCTGCAGGGAGATTTTTTATAGATTCATCAATGAATAATAGGGAAGCACTTCTGTTGAAGCTTTTGCATGCGGTGTTACATTTTTCTTTGTTGGTGGTGTTGATAAAGAAAGTTGCTACATTATAAGAATTTTTTTTGTTTTTTTTGTTGAGCATTTTACGACAGAAATGACTCAATTACAAATCGCTATGGAAATTCCACTTCATCAAATTCGTGATATTAGAGTTCTTTATGAGTTGGCCCCAAGTGGAACTTCTGAGATCGATTTGATTTTTCGGATCCCGAGTCTCTTCAAACTCAAAGGAGACCTGTACCAAAAGGTCATGTAATAACCGTTCGTATAACAGTGGAAAACCCTGACGCAGGATTTAAACCAAGTAGTGGTATGGTGCATGAACTTAATTTTCGTAGCAGCATGAATGTTTGAGGATATTTCTCGCCGGTGGCTTTCATGAGTTTGCAATTCTCAATTTAGTTTCATTTTCGCTTATGTGAGAATTGTCAACATTCGTGAAAGAATATAATAGTAGCACTTAAGGAATTGTCGATTCATGGAGACTTTAGAACCATAGTTGAATATTTAGTCAAATTACTTGAAACCAAAGCTTTCAAAAAATAGTTTTATAGTGGGATGGTTGGACGAGAATCTAACTGCCGATAAGCCTGATAAAATGTATGTAATGCAGTAACCAAGGCTTATACAGCAGCTATGTAATCTATAATGGCATATAAAAGTTTCTACAAATCCCTAGCAGAGATATATTGTGCACCATCTTCATTATCGATTTCATTTATAAAGGCATCCATTATAAATGTACCGCGACTAGATTAGCTCTAGATTCTTACACGCTTTACCTGCATCGTAGTCATGCTTATTGTAAGATAAACACCCTAGTGAAATTATTTAAAGGGGATTTTTTTTTTTATATATTTTAAATTTTTTGTTTTTAAAAATATTTTGAAACCTTTCTTTAAGTGTCGGTCAAGAAGACGTAAAGAAAAAGTGGTGACCAGTTAAAAACGGAGGGGGAAAAAATAAAAACTATAATCAATAGCGTAAGTACTAAATTGATTATGTACTATTTTATATATTACTTTTTTTCTATATTTATATTCATATTTTATTATTAGTCCTTTATTTAATGACTTATATATTAGTATCATACAACTGGTAATTAATTTAATGTTTATTTTTAATGCATAATTAAACATTATATTAACATTATACTAACATTAAATATATTTTAATATATTTTTCAGAATCATTTTTTTAGGTATCAAAATTATGAAGTTGTTATTATGCAGCCACCACAATTACAATTAACGATCTATGAAACTAAGGATGAGCAAGAAGGTTGCTTGAAAATTCATACTTTTACAATTGAATCTGAAAATTAATTAATGTATTGCATTTATTATTTACTCATTTATTATTTTAAATACTTTCGTTTGTTGGAGTTATGACAAATCATTTTGTATTATAGGCATATATCTAAGTTTGATCACTCTAAACAACCAAAATATTTGTTAATAATTTGGAATAATAAAACGAATCGAATAGAACTATGTGTCGACACAATACAAGGCTCAATAATGCCATTTAATATTACCATTCAAAAAATATCAGAATATAATGAATGCAAGTAATTGTTGTCTCATTACCGTAAATGAATCGAAAAGGTTAATTGGGATATATAATTTTGAATAATGACATGATGAGCACTTGCATCTTATATGAATTTATATTTTTAAAGTTTAAAAGTAGAAGCAAAATTAAATTATAGTTTAATGTGTTTCATTATGATGAATTCATAAATTTACATACACGTAACATAAATATTCAAATCCATAAATGTCTGTGGTCTTTACAGATTAAATCCCTTTCAAGTGCATTACTTTACCAATTCAACAACTCCACCATCTATGAACGTA